TTGTAATTTGACACAGCTGTTAATTCTCACAAATCAAACATAAAGCTTTATCGATGAGGATGATAAAATACCAAGTTGTTTGAAGAGCGAAGGCATCTGTCATGAACATTGGTCAATAATGATAAACTACGTCTGAAATATCAGGTGTACAGCGATTAAATGAAATTGAATTTAGGTGACGAGGTACTCTAAGATTTCTGCGGTTCTGAATTGATAGCCAATGTAGTTGATGGCTGTAGCTAGAGACAAGATCTAATTTCCGCATCTCGAATATAAATCTGATACAAGTTTTGAGCAAGTGATAGTGTTTATGGAGTGAAATTTCATTTCAAAGAGAAAAAATAAACACCGGCACAGTCAATTGTAGAACGAACAAAGGATTTTATAAAAATGTTTCGATTTAAATTTCATTCAATTGGACATCCTAGAATAAAGAATTGTTTTTGTAAATTCCTAAATCTTTAACATGAGTTTAGTAGGAATAGTTTATTAGCCCAGAGCACGTTTTTGAATCACGTTTGGTAAGATGTTATATAAATTTTTGTCAATTGCAGGAAACTGTGACAATAACATTGTCAAGCCTTTGAGCAATCCAATGGCCGTGCTAAACGTATTGACATCACAATGCTCATATAACTGTAGGTCACCAGATAGATGGTAATGACACCGGACTAGTGGCGATAATAAAAATGGAACACTACAATAATTTAATAATATTCAGTCAATGATAAATTTAGAGATTCAACTTTAAAATAATAATATTAAATACAGTTTCTTGAAACAGAGTCTAATTGTATCGGATGTAAATTAATTTGTTAATATTATTCTGATATTCAAAATACACTTTATTTACAGTAATAATATCAAATTTTTAAAATCTCGAAACTCAAAGAGGAAGTGCATTATTTTTGCAAAGTGAAGCCTTTTTGAGATTTTTCATTAATTGGCCGCAATTCAGCGCATAGCGGGGTCTTAACCGGGTTAAGGTAAATTATTACAAAAGAAGACAATCAACGTTCAGAAGCATGCAAAGAGATTTGCTTAAATATACTATGATCAAATATAATTAATTTAAATACAAAGCATTACCACACAGGTCTTTATTTAAAGAAGTAATTTTTTATAACTCATAAATAAACTCGCTTATTTACAATTTAGTGATTGGCGTTGAAAAACTAATGAAAATAAAATTGTAATAATTTTTTTGAAATGGCATGAAAGTTAAAATAGAATAGTCTTTCCAAAACCAATTCACTTTAAGTACTTTTGAAATGTTTGAATTTAAAACTTACATAGGTTTTTATGCACCTTCAAATAATTCTTGTATATAAGAATATTTTTGACAGTTTTATTTTTATGGCGAATAGACAGCGAGTAGAAGTGTTTACTCTCACATTGGCTGACAAGCTCCTATGGTAGAAGACGGTTAAAATTGTTTCTGTTTACTTTTAATAGATGGCAGTTGTACCAAATCGTTAACCGAATTGAATTATTATTATCATCGACCTGTATTGAGTGATGTGTATTTTAAAGTAAGTTAGTAAAATATAAACTGTAGATTTATCTCTTTTAAGATTAGGACCTGGGTACTTATTAAAGTGAATGAGGTGCACGGCACTGTCGAGGTGAAAATATTAAAATTGCATTTTGGGACTCTTTCTAGACACACATTTTTCTTGTCATATCGTGTCTGAGGAATTTTTAATTTTATCCATCATATTTTTTTAATTTAACGTTCATTAGACTTTTACTGTAATATACACTTTTTCATAGAATCTTATTAAATAAAAGTAGTTATATTATTATTAACTAATAGACAAAGATACATGAAGTCTTTAAACATTCAAATACTTCTAATGAGAAATATACTTTTTTGATTCAGTTGATGTAGAAGACATTCCATTAACGCATAACAATGAACCTACATGTACTTGAATGGTTTTAATTAAAAGGCACAACGGAAAGATAATTAAAATGGTAATTAATACAGCCTTTTGACTTCGCGGGCTATTAAATTTTTAATAATGAAAACAAGTTAACTGTTATTCCATATCTGTTTTGGAATAGCTATAATACTTAATTATTTTTCCTAATCTACATTTATATTCTTACAAATGTGGGGAAACCTTCAATTTATTTAAACTACTAAATTAAAATGCCTATATTGTGCCAAGTTTATTTCTAAATCAAATATTTTGATTGAACATACAATTCTCTTAAGTTGTAATATACATATCTATTCTGCATTATCCAAAATATTTTTGACCATTTAGTCAAAACTAACTAATTCTTCTGAGTTACAATCAAAATTTTGGCTGACAATCAGAATTTTCCCTATTCCTATCGATGCTCCTGCAACTCCGTGCAATTTTAAAATCTCAGCCAGCTATTATTTACTTTGATAATGCTTCTCATATTCTTATTTCTATTATAATTTATGAAATTCTTCACCAAGTTCAACAAATGAAATAAAATTCTAAAAAATGACAATATCATTTAGTACTGATTAACTAATCAATTACTGTTATACAGTGCTTTAATCTTTGAACATATTTGAAAGAAAGAAAGAAAGAAAGAAAGTTTTTATTTGAGACACGTATATAGTGAGGTATAAAAATAAAAAAAAAACAAAATAGAAAAATTACAAATTAAAAAACAAAAAATAAACATAAGAATAAAGAAAAAAAAAAAAATAAAACTTATGACTAATTTACAAAAATGCACCTACACCAAAACACAAAAAAATAAATAATAAAAATAATTAAAACTTAGGATAAAAAAAAAGAGAAATCAAAACAAAAAAAAAAGAAAAAAGAAATAAACATCAAAATACATAAGGCGTGTCCCAAAAAGGTATACCATTCAGCTTAAAAGGTGTTAACACACCTTATGCTGATTTTCGATGGTACCCTTTGAGCCTGATGGAAGTAGCGGTGAACAAGTTTATAAATACATATTGTTAATGTGACAGTTAAATTATATAAACAAAAAGTTGAACACATGACTGAGGTAGGCAACGGAGCCATACCAGTAAAGGTAAGTTGTACATATAATATATAATATATATGTACACATAATACATATAATACACACATAATGTTATTATAGCACGATAATACAAAATAATAATAGTGGATGTGACTATACATTCTAAATACACATATACATACATATATAAAGTTATAAAATTATATAGAATTATCATAATTATGTCATATATATCTGTATATACATAGACAACCACTCTCATACAAACACTCATACACATACAAACACACACCCAGGCATATATATATATTAATTATACATTTAGGTATATACATTAAAATATAAATATATTGTATTTAAAATAAACATACTTAGGTGAATAAATCAATTACTATTTTGCATTTGTTTATCAAGAAGAATTTTCCTGTATTTGTTTCTGAAATTATGAATTATATTTAGGTTCCTCAGTGGCGGTGGAAGGTTGTTCCAGCACTTGGTGGCGGCATATCGAAAACTGCCTCGAAAGGCGGCCGTTCTATGAAGAGGCATAAGTAGCAAATATGATTTCGATCTAGTTGCGTATGTGTTCGTTTCGTGCGCCCAACGAAGTTTGTGGTAAAGATACGGCGGAAGTTTATACTTGATTACCCCGAATAAAAGCGTTATAAAATGCAGTTGCCTACGGTACTCCATTCTCATAATTCTTGCGTTATTTAAATATTGTGTGACATGCGTACGTGGAGGTATGTCGAAGCAATATCTTGCACAGGCATTTTGCACCTTTTGTATTAAGTTTTTCGTACGTTGCAATAGTCTCGGGCCTACCACTACATCGGCGTAATTTAATTTGGACAATACTAATGCGTCACATAACCTGATTCTTACATTTACTTTTAAAAACTTTCTTATTTGGTATAAAACTTTTAGACGATAGAAGCAACTCCTAACTGTATTGTGAATGTGTTTTTCAAATCTAAGGCATTCATCCATAAGAACGCCGAGATTACGCGCTTCAGAAACTCTTTCAATTGGTTCATCTTGAATTTTAACCATAGGCATTTGCCTGGATATGAGTTGTACTTGATTCGCCGAGCCCAGTATTAAAAATTTTGACTTTTGCGGGTTTAGAGCTAAACAATTTACTTCTGACCAACTTGCTATGTTTTTTAAATCTTCATTTAGCTTATGTACAGCATTATGAGTTTCGTTAGGGGGAAAAGATATATATATTTGTATATCGTCAGCGTACATGTGGTAACGGCAGTTTTTTATGACTTTCGTTACGTCAGCGCAATATAAAATAAACAAAAGAGGACCAAGTATCGATCCTTGAGGTACACCTCTAGAGACTTGCCTACATTGCGAAGCTTTCATAGTGCCATCTCCATGTTTAAGTTCTACGGTTTGTGTTCTGCTACCTAGATAACTGGCGAACCATTGTATAGCTTCCGTGCTAAGGCCGTAGTAGTGTAGTTTTGCTAGTAACAGAGAGGCATTAATGGTATCAAATGCCCTGGAGTAATCTAACAAGACTAGTATCGTGCCATTGCCTTTATCTTGCGCGTTTAATATTTCGTCAACCACATCAATCAGTGCAGTTGCAGTACCGCGATGTTTACGGAATCCTGATTGTCTAATGGGTAGTATATCATTGGTCTCGAGGAAATCAGACAGCTGATTATATACTATTTTTTCTAATACTTTGGATAAACATGGCAGGATGCTTATTGGTCGGAGATCCTTAATTTCTGAAGGATTATTATTTTTAGGGATAGGCGTAATTATCGCTTTCTGCCACATTATAGGAAATGTGCTGTGGGTAATAGACATATTAATTATGCTAGTAATAATTTCTTGTACATAGGGCATGATGAGCAGCAACATTTTTAAAGATATTCCATCGGCCCCAACAGCATTTGATTTAATACTACGTATTACTTTATTAACAACTATATAATCGACGGTTTTTATAGAGAATGTAGCATCACCATATAGTTGACTGTTATAGTATGCTATATCAGTGGCAGAGGCTTGAGGCCTGCCTGGTAATTGGAGAAAGTGACTATTAATTTCATCTGGATTATCAAAATGAGCAGGCAAAAGTTTGTCTTTCTTGTTATTAAAGCTAACAAGGCTCTTAATATGTGACCATAAATACCGCGAATTTTTGTAATTATTATTAATAAAGAGAGTGAAATAAACCGTTTTTTCTGTATTTATGGCTGATTCTACTAATTTTTTAAGTTGCTTATAATAGTTAACGTGAGCATCTATCTTCGTATTACGGCATCTAATTTGTGCTTCATTTCTCCGAGTCATCATTAATTTTATGTTATAAGTAACCCATGGATACTGAAATTTCTTAATATATCGCAACTTTATAGGGCTTAATGTGTCAAATACCCATAGAATACTATCATTAAAGGCTGCCACTGTTTTATTTATATCATGATCTGATATTACTAATTCCCAGTTGATAAGTGTGGTTAAATAATATTTTAATTGTTCTAAGTCTATGTCGTCTAATCGTCTACTATACATTTTTTTCGTTACGGGCTTCTCCTTTACAATATTTAGCTCACACGATAGAAATGCATGGTCGCTTAAATTGCATATATAATCGACCCACACTCGTTCGACGTACGTATCGGAGCAGATGAGATCAAGGAGAGTTTCACTATGACTTGTGAAATGTGTAGGTACGGTTACATATTGCTTCATATTTGTGTATGTGAGAAAGTCCGTAAAAATAGCTGCACTTGCATTACCTGCATCTAGGAGATTGATGTTAAAATCGCTCACCAATAGTATGTAATCATGATATGGCAAAGCCCCATATGTGTCAGTAATGGCATCGATAAAAGTTTGCGTACTTAGCCAAGGCGGTCTATATGCTGTACCAATGATTAATATTTTACCCCTAATATTAACACTTAACCACATTTGTTCAATCATTATGGTATCTGGGTGTTTAAGGGTCCGAGCAGAAATACCCTGTTTTATATAAAAACCTACTCCACCGCCACGGGTACGCATTTCCGTAGGTCGTGGAACGTGACGCAATGAGTATCCTGGAATTCTTGGGGCTCGGGCATCCTCCCCTTCTCGTAGCCATGTCTCATTTAGAGCCATGATATCGACGTTGTGGCGGTCCATTGCATATAAAAACTCATCATGACCAGTACCGAGTGAGCCAGGATTCAGAAAGCCAATTCTTAATTTTTTTGACTTATTCATTTGACATACTGTGTATATAATATATTAAAATAATAATAAAATATAATAATAATAATATAATATAATAATAATGATAATAATAATATAATATAATAATAATAATAATAATATAATATAATAATAATAATATAATATAATAATATAGTAATAATGATAATAACAATAATATAATATATTAAATAAACAAATGCAATTATGCTGGCTAACTGTAAATGATATGTAAGTTCCAAAGTATACGCAAAATTAAGTTTACATTTAAAGATTACATTCGACATCTCACAATTGTTGTATATATTACCTTTAAAAGCAAGAAATATAATTAAATATGATAATAATTTGTCATTGTAATTGCTATTTAGAACTGTCACATTAACACAAAGCAAAAACTTAATAATACATTTTAAATGAATATGACAAATTAATTTAACCTGCTTGCGAATTAATTTTGTTAAATTAACATATTTAGTATATCTCTTCATTATAACCAATAAACTAATCTTATATGGACTTAAAATCAAATGACATTGTCTCCAAAAAACTTACTAGTGTCCTCCAATGTGCGTATCCGACGAGTTTCGGAGTTTCCATTGCGACGAGCATAAATGCGACCTCCTCGCGTCCAGATATATCGCCATCCATCGCGTCGACCTAATTCACGTGTTTTATAAAATATATGGCGATTCATCGGAGTGAGGCGCTCGTTAACATAAAACCTCTTAGCTTCAGACTCGACGATTCCCGATGAGTCACAGCCGCGGCGCACGCGAGCGGCTCGTAGCATTTCGTCGCGGACGGCGCGGCGGGCGAGACGCACGATAATCGGCCGTGGCCGAGTTTGCCCGCTGTGATCGGCTATGATGCGGCGCGGTCCCCAGCGCTCAGAGCTGACAATGTCGCGTTCCTCCAGGGACGCCCCAATTTTTTTAGCAACTAGAAGCACTATATTGGTTGAATTTTCGCCACTTTTCTCCTCTAAACCCGAAATTTCGATATCGTTCAGCAGGTTCTCTTGGTCACGGTCATTCAATTCGGATCGTAGTTGGGCTATTACTTCGGTCGTATTTCTGTCAACTATTCCCGAGTTTCGCTCGTGATTATTTTTTTCTAAATTGTCTAAACGTTGCTCGACGCTGTCTATTCGTTTATTAAACTCTGATATAGTCGTACTAAGCCGCGACAGCTCCCTGGTTACCGAAGAAAATTCCAATCGCAACAGCCTTATCTCGTGGGCGAGGGACTTTTCAGAATTATTTTCGTTAGCGTCTATGAAATTTTCCTCTGCATTTTCTATATCTGAGCTGGGAGAGGGATGGCTACTGGTACTCGCATTAATGGTGCGCTTCGTTCCTACTTTGCAATTGTTGCATAGTAATTTTTTGGGAATGGGGTCTCCAGGCTTTATATTAACGCACATTCGATGAAATAGCATAGCGCATTTGGTACACTTGGCGCCATCTATTATTGCGAGGTATTTACCGCAATGATTGCACTTGTTCGTCATAACGCTGAGTCAATATCAATATCGACAAGGCAATTATGAGTATGGATGCTAGATGGCACTTTTAAGAATAATGTTTAATAAAATTATTTAAATTTAATTTAGTTTTATGTAGCTATGCATAAAAGTCAATAGTTCTTAAATTTTCACGTTTATTATTATTTTATATGGTCCTTTTTTGGTTATTAAACATTTAAATTTAGTTTTATATTTATTTTATTTGTAAGAGGGTATGACAAGTTAACTTTCCACTGCACACTATATTTTTATTGTATTTATAACTTATCAATTTTGTATTTAAACTTGTCACATATCACTAAATATCACTATCACTCACAACTGGTTTAAAACAATTTGGTTTAAAACAATTTGTAAAGTCATTAGTTATTATAACTTAATAAAAACCGTTAAAGACACACGCTACACGTCCGCACGCCTCAACAGTTCATTACCAAGCCTCAATCAAATTTAATTTTTTCATATAATTTATTAAGTGTTAACTTAATAATTAATTACAAAAAATGTAAGCTTCTTAGAAATTATATTATATTAATTTGATTTATTAAATTCAGATAGTTCCAACAGCAAACATTTGTAAAGCATCACCACTATCAGAATTTCTTCTTCGAAAAATTATTAAAGTCAGAAAAATTCCTCACTGAGGAGATAGAAAAATAATGGGGAATATAGTATATGTATTTTTTATATTCGTCTTAACTTCATAACTGTCTGGTTCAATTTGTATTGATGTGTTTCCCGAAGGACCACAAGCTTCACGTGAAAGGCGTGGTAGTGGTACGAGTCAAGCTTTTGAGGTTCGATACGACATTTCTTTCCATATTATCTGTGAGGACAGATATGCTTCTATACGGGAGATACGTCGAGAAGTATGAACGGTATAACAGATGGGACACCTTACGTGATGGAATACTTTAGTTCCTTGGCCGACGTAAAGTGCACTTTTCCTTTGCCACTCTTACCTATCGTTTTGTATATTAATCTTAGAGATCTGAAATAAACATTATATTAACTTGATTTAAACCTTCTTCAAGTCGTTGCATATTCTGTCTACAGTTCCCTTTACATTGTATAATCCATACAAAAAAGTGAGGAAATTCCGAGACCTTTTTCTAGTGCCATTACTATCCAACAAGCGGATTTATACAAACTTGACTGTGACTGTATCTATAATGTAGTAATAAATTAGACAAATAAAGACGAGCATGGCATCAAGGGTGAAGGGCAATAATATGTCGGTTATTTAAAAATAGATATGCGTTGAAGTTAGCTGTGTGAAAATACAGTAGAAAATCGAAGCCATCAGGTTACTACATCAGGATTAAAAAGAAAAAGTCATAAAAACTGCAGTAGCCAAAATTTAGTTTCGTTTCACACGCGAAAGTCTCATATCATTTAATAGATTTGATTGTAAGCCAGTGCTATGATCGTCTCTTAGCAGCCAATGTTCCGATCAGCATGGTGAGTATTACACGCACACACACACACCACACAGCACACAGCACACACACACACAGCACACACCACACACACACACACACACACACACACACACACACACACACACACACACACACACACACACACACACTGTTAGTTTAATTGTTCTTGAATCTTGATCGATGTTATCTTCATTATCCTAGGTGTATCAGGTTCAACAGTAAGTTGTTCAACGCCTATATCTACTGGATCGTCTATCGCACCAGTTTTGGATTGCCAGCGTGGACAGGTGTTTTTATCATATCATTATCTTTTTTTTTTAATGTGAAAGGTGGCAAACGAGCAGACGGCCCACTTGATGGAAGGTGGTTACCGTCGCCCATGAACATCCGCAAAATCTTTGTTGCGGATGCGTTGCCAACCTTATTTTTTAGGGATAGGGAGGGGTGGGAACAAGGAAATGGTTGGAAAGGGTGGGAATAGGGAAAGGGCAACCGGCTCTCTCACTCATCGGACGAAACGCAGTCATTACTGACTACTTCACGCCGATCTTCTGTGAGAGGGTGGTACTTCCCCGGTCGAGCCAGCCCATGTAGTAACTGACCACAGCTAGGCTCTACCACCTTTAAAGATATTAATTATATACATATTATATAACTAGCTTAGTCCCGTGGTGTTACGGGATCTCCGGATGTAAATAAAAATAGCCTAGGTGTTATTCCTGGACGTCAGCTTCTTTAATACAAAATTTTCTCAAAATCGTTTCAGCCGTTTGAGCGTGAAGAAGTAACAAACATACACACACACTCACAAACTTTCGCAATTATTTTTCGTTATTTTTCTGTTATATTTTTGTTATTTTTTGTTGTTTTTTCGTCATTTTTTGTTATTTTTCCTCCTCTCCCCCAGTCTACGTCACGTCTCGCGAGCGTCTGTAGCAGTCACTCTGGTTTTCGTTCCCAAGACACTCTCCAGCGACCCTCGTTATATGTTGAAAATGTAAATTATTATTTATTTTTATTTTATTATGTTTACCCGATTGCGATGTAGAAGGTTATGTTGTGAGCTTAAACTTAGATTAATAAACTTGTTTTATATAAGACTAGAAGACCTGGCGCACTTCGTATCGCCCTATAATCAAGAAATATCTACTACGTTTTTTTATTTATATTTTTGGAGTTTACCTATAAGCCATAAATCTCCGTGTTTTGAAGTGCGACAGAATGATTGACATATTAGTTAGTTGTCAAATCTAATGTCAAAAAATACGTTTGTGTGGGAAATAGAAAAGAGCTGTTTTTATGGTTTTCCCAGTAATGAATCAATTTTTTCAGCTTTTACCTTCCCTGAACCTCCTCAAACATTTCAAGACTAAGATAAGATAAATCCGTTCAGCTGTTCTCGAGTTTTAGCGAGACTAAGGAACAGCAATCCATTTTTATATATATAGAAGATTGTATTCTATAAATATATCGTCTTCATTATGTCAATATGATTAATTTTACAAAACTTCTTTCAGCTATTTGTTTAATGAATTTGATTCTTACTCAGTCGGGTAATCTTTTTGTTTATCCTTTGCTTTTTTATGTATAATTTAAGAAGTATATACTGGAATATTTATCGTGATAAATATCGTTTTAGCTATTTAACTGACGTTATAATTCAGTGGTAACACTGGCTTCATTTCGGAAATCACGGGTTTTAGTCCATGTGATTTATTATAATTCTACAAGTAAATATACTTTAAACTTATAAAATTATTTTTATTTATTTCAACAGGGTTCAGACAATCAAAGCAATAACAGCGAAGGTGTGACTCCTTCTAAGACGAATGACGAAAATGATTCAAACGATCTCACGTCCAACTCGGGTATGTAATATAAATTATATGAAAATATAGAAAATACAATAAAAACATAACGAAATTTATATAAATTTAGATATTATTAAGTATTTTTTTCAATTGTGTCTTCATCAACCTCAATATGAATTTTAAGTCCGTTGTCATGTAAACATGTCATGTGATTTATAACTTTATTCAGTAATTAATTATAACATGATTATGGAAACCACAGTCTAAGAATATCACATATATTATTTGATTTTAATTGTATTTTAATTAAACCCTGATAAGATGCGATTTATAACTTAATTCAATAAAATTATGTTCTATTATAACATGATCATTACAAACAAAAGTAAAGATAGTAATATGTATATTATTTTTCCTTGTTTGTTTTCTTTTTTTTTTAATAACCAACACATGGTTTTAAATATAGTTAAATTGCTTAACTACTGTTTGATAAGAGAAAGTATTATTACGGGATAATATTATTATAAGGATTATTATTGCAAAATATTGTTGTGATAAAATTATACTTTTTGCTTTGTAAATTCTGTATTGTTAAATGACTTCAGTAGAAAAATTTCTAGTATAAGGTTTGATTGATAAGAAAATAATTGCCATTCAAAATATTCTATTGGTTTGAAGATAAAAGATAAATTTTGACAACAAAATTCACTCTGAGAATTTAAATGTTCAAAGTACTATCAAATACTGCAAATTTAATCAAGCGTCAATTATCATTAGGCCTGCATTGTTGTCAATTATCATTGTGTTGAATATAAGTAAATTTTATAATCTATGTTAATTTGTAATATGTTGTTAATCTGTGTGTCAAAAGTCGTATCATAGCTATGTCGGATAAAGGTTGATCAAATATACGGAGCTCTTTAAAAAGGGTTTTATTTCATCTAAGTATTTTAACAAGTATACTGCCACCAGTACTTTATGTAACTATTTTACGCCATTGAGTTAGCTTAGGAAATACGTAAAAGGGTTTTTTGTAATAATTTTCTGGAAAAGTTTAAGATTCAGTTTTTAATTGATAAAATTATTTCGTCTAATATTTTAGTAACATTACAAACAAGTCAATAGTTGGCTGAGTACCCAACTTAAAGTACTAAATGTAACATTATTTTATTTAGGAGATCTCTTTTGATTATCTTAGAATTAAAAAGGAAGTTGTGTGATAATCACAATAACTAGACGAAAAACGATCAATTAGTTGTGTTATCTTTCACTTTTTTTTTATTCTAAATATATCAATGAATACATAAAGCTACTATTTGATCTACTTTAACTATATTTTAATCACTGTTGTTTTTTTTTAATATTAGTTTTAAGGTATTTTATCAATATATTTATATAAAATTAGGAAAATGATTAATATATTTATTTCAAAATTGATATTCATCGTTATTAATGTGTTACTTATAAAATAATTTCAATTTAATCATTAAAGTAGCTGGTTAAAAAAACTAATACACTTACTTACGTATTCCATTTTAATATTTTCTTTAACCCTATGCGAATGTTACTACAATGTCTGTGGTTTATATGCAAAGGGATAATTTCATGCTGTCCCTCCAAACCTTTCCTTCAATGTTGGAACTACCTTAAACTTATAAAGATTATTCGGTATTCAAGTATTTTGTTTTCGATCCACCCCTTACAATAGGAACAATGCCTCAATATATAATGA